TGCCATAGTAACACACCCAAATGAGGAATGTGTTGCCTCCAAAATCCAAATAGGCCCACTAGGCATTATGCTTCTTTCTTGGTTGTAAGAGGGTCCAAATGCAGTAACTTATCCTTCACCTTAGGAATATCTCGACAGGCCCCAAACCACTGGACCCCTAGAAATTTCACTGAGGTAGAAGCTCCCTGAATTTTAGTCGGATTTCTTTCCCATCCTCTGACACACAAATGTCTCACCAGTAAGTCCAGTGTGTTTGCTACTTCTTGCTCACTTAATCCAGTCACCATAATGTCATCAACGTAAGGGACCAGTGTGATATCTTGTAAAAGCGAAAAGTGATCAAGGTCTCTCTGAATAAGATTATGACATAAAGCCGGAGAGCTGATATGCCCCTGAGGTAGGGCATTAAAGGTATATTGTTGGCCTTGCCAGTTGAAGGCAAATTGCTCCTGGTGGGCCTTATGGACAGGAATGGAGAAAAAGGCATTTGCCAAGTCATTGACTGCAAACCAGGTACCAGGAGATGAGTTAATTTGCTCAAGCAATGAAACCACATCTGGTGCAGCAGCTGCAGTTGGAGTCACCACTTGCTTAAGCTTACAATAATCCACTGTCATTTTACAAGATGTGTCTGTCTTCTGCACAGGCCGAATGGGAGAGTTGAATAGGAATGTGGTGGGAATCACCACCCCTGAGTCTTTCAAGTCCTTGATGGTGGCACTAATCTTCACAATCCCTCCAAGGATGCAATATTGTTTTTGATTTACTATTTTTCTAGGTAGACACAGCTCTAATGTCTTCCATTTGGCCTTCTCCACTATAATAGCCCTCACTCTACCAGTCAGAGAGCCAGTGTAGGGGTTCTGCCAGCTGCTAAGTACGTCTGTGCCAATTCTGCATTCTGGCACTGGGAAAATGACCACAGGATGAGTCCGGGGACCCACTGGACCCACCATAAGTCAGACCTGAGCTAAAACTCCATTAATTACCTGACCTCCATAAGGACCTACTTAACTGGAAGACCACAATGACATTTTGGGTCCCCTGGAATCAATGTCATCTTAGAGCCAGTGTCCAGTCGTCCCCAAAATGTCTGATCATTTCCCTTTCCCCAACACAGTTACCCTGGTATAAGGCTGGAGGTCTCCTTGGGGAGAAAGATTAACTGCATAGGTGGGCGTGGTAGCTCACACCTGTAATTCCAGCACTTTGGGAGGCCAAGGCGGGCAGATCACGAGGTCAGGAGATCAAGACCATGCAGACTAACATGGTGAAAACCCGTCTCTACTAAAAATATTAAAAATTAGCCAGGAGTGGTGGTGGGCGCCTGTAGTCCCAGCTACTTGGGAGGTTGAGACAGGAGAACGGCATGAACCTGAGAGGCAGAGCTTGCAGTAAGCCCAGATTGTGCCACTGCACTCCAGCCTGGGGGACAGAGCAAGACTCAGTCTCAAAAAAGACAGAAAGAAGGAAAGAAAGAAGGAAAGAAAGAAAGAAAGAAAAGAAAGAAAGAAAGAAAAAAGAAGAGAAGAAACAGAAAGGAAGAGAGGCCGGCGCGCGGTGGCTCAAGCTTGTAATCCCTAGCACTTTGGGAGGCTGAGAACGGGCGGATCACGAGGTCAGGAGATCGAGACCATCCTGGCGAACATGGTGAAACCCCGTCTCTACTAAAAAAATACAAAAAAACGTACCGGGCGAGGTGGCGCGCTGTAGTCGTCTCCG